ACCACTAACTCCACTAAACCTAACCCACTACACCACTAACTCCACTAAACCTAACCCACTACACCACTAACTCCACTAAACCTAACCCACTACACCACTAACTCCACTAAACCTAACCCACTACACCACTAACTCCACTAAACCTAACCCACTACACCACTAACTCCACTAAACCTAACCCACTACACCACTAACTCCACTAAACCTAACCCACTACACCACTAACTCCACTAAACCTAACCCACTACACCACTAACTCCACTAAACCTAACCCACTACACCACTAACTCCACTAAACCTAACCCACTACACCACTAACTCCACTAAACCTAACCCACTACACCACTAACTCCACTAAACCTAACCCACTACACCACTAACTCCACTAAACCTAACCCACTACACCACTATCACCATCCACTACACACCATCCACTACACCTACATCTATATAAGGAACCATTTGTAATAGACAAAAGATCTATCAATACATCAATCAATACACATCAATCAATAATGCAATTCTCTATTTCTCTTTATACATTAAATTTCTACACATGCCATGAGCAGTAATGGCTAATTGAAAAGAACACAACCAAACCAAGTAATTAGTGCCATCCAACTTGAATGATGTAAGTTGAAGAGAGGAATTTTCACCAAGACAGACTTTCACTTTGCTTGGTTCCTCTTTTCCAAAAACACTTTTTAGAAAATTCTACTTTCTTGTTTTCTGTATTTTTTTGTTTTTACTGAATTTTTTTAATATTTTAAGCGATTTTTTTTTACTTTTTAGACATACCTAACATAAATATACCTAAAAAGTAAAAAAATGTGAAAAAAACCTTTTAAAAATTCACTAAATACCAAAAATATAAAAAAAATACGAGAATTCAGTACATTTTTTGCATTTTTATGATTAATTAATTTCTTAAAATATTTTTTCACAAATTTTTTACTTTTTAGATACATCTAAGTAAGGTGCATCTAAAAAAGTAAAAAAAATGTTTAATATTTTAAAAATATTCACTAAAAACAAAAAAACATGAAAACCAAAAAACTCAGTTTTCAAAAAAGTTAATCCAAAAAACTCAAACCAAACACACTGATTGGGACTGGACTCTTTCACCTCATTGCGTACAAAGGTCTTACCATCATCAGCTATGGCCTAACGCAGTGTGAGCACACCCAAAGAATGATACAACCACAACCCAATAGGAGCAAAATATGGCCAAAAAACCAATCACACTGAAGCAGAAGACCAAAACAAGCAGGTAAAGACCCAAAACGATCAATCGGAGCACTGACGAGCCAAAAAACAATCAAACACCATCTAGAAACATCAACCAATGCCAAAGGGGGCCAGGGAAGCCCTGATCGGCTCCTAGAGGAAGTAGCCCAAGGGTTGAATTGAACAAAAAACAACTAGAAGGAAGAAATCGAAAAAATAGGCATATTTTTCCAAAAATAAAAGAAAAATTAGAAAAAAACTAGGCAACCATGAACAACAAATTTTGAATTTTTGTTGGGTACTCCCCTACCCTAGTCGAGCATGGTAGGAAATTTTGTTTTTTTGTGGTTTTTTTTACATTATTTGACAAGAACACCTAATGTACGAACAAAACAAAAAAAAAAAAATCCTCAGAATTAAAGAAATAAAAAATAGAGGAACAAAGAATAAGAACTTGCTCTGATACCAAGTTAAAACTGGAGCATAGCAATTGAGAGAGAGAGAGAGAGAGAGAGAGAGAGAGAGAGAGAGAGAGAGAGAGAGAGAATTGCTGGAAAAGGAGGCACAAAACCTAATTAGGTTTGTTACCTCACTAAGCACTTGTATTTATAATAATATAATAATAAGTGAATAAGTACAATGACACTAATACCCTTAAGCACATAACACATACCTTTCTTTTTCTGCTCACCTTCCTTATATAGCCATTTGATGTAGATATTTCATATGTAATTTGATATGTCTGTCATCATTACTTGAATGCGAGGGCCCAGTTTCCTACTTCACCTTGGGAAAGGGACATCCTGGGTCCACTTTTGCCCTCGGTATAGGTATCGGCCGTTTTTTGCCGATATCTCTTATTCGGCATACAGCTCGGTCGACGAACGTGTTGTTCCGCATTAAGTTCTTGGCAAACCCAATGGGCATGACTGGGTTTGGGCTTTATGATGGATGGCCTAGGCGTCTTGTTTGTTGTTTGTTTAGAAAAATTACTTGGCTCATACAACCGCTACAGGACACCCTAATAAAGAGACTCAAGTTTGAGTCTGCTTAACTCGCCTATCAAAATAATAATAATAATAGTATCTAAATGTTCAAATTACATTATCACTTGAGAGTGTCCAAAAAGTGAACCATGTATTTGAAACGATAAATATTATTTTTAAATGACAAACCTGTACTAGTTTTGTGGGCACATGTCAAATATGTACAATTAGTATTAGTGTGTAACATAGAGTCATAGACACATTTTCTTCTTGGAAATGTCTTTGCTTTTAAGGTGACTCTGCATTCTTCTGGGCATTAAAAATCTGCAGTCACAAAAAGACGTTTTTTTATGGGAACCTCTATTTCCACTCCACTTTGCTCTAAATACACTCCCTTCTTTGTCCTTATTATACATAGTTACATTAATACCCTTGGAATTTTGATTTTTTCAAGGAGTATATTTTGTGTGAAAGGGTATTAATGTAACTATGCATAATAAGGACAAAGAAAGGATTATATACTCATTGAAAAAATCAAAATTCCAAGGGTAGTAATGTAACTATGCATAATAAGGACAAAGAAAGGATTGTACTTGAAGCAAAGTGGAGTGAGAATAGCGTCTCCCTTTTTTATTTTTATTTTATTTATCTTCCATTTTGTGCAACCACTATAATTCTATTGCTATCTACTTTTTACAGTCAAAATATATTCTGATGTGTATCACTTTTCTACTACATCTTTTCTTATATTTTGTGCTATCACCCGGGACGAGAGTTCTATTGCTCTTGTATTCCTGTGTATTTTCTTGTCACTGTTTAAGATCCCGGTTGGAGTTGCTAAAAAGCTTGAGAAGTTGATGAGGGATTTCTTGTGGGAGGGATGTGACGAGGGGTTTAGGTTCCCACTTAGTTAAATGGGAGGTTGTTTCCCTCCCCATAAATAAGGGGGGTCTTGCTATTGGGAATGTGGTTGCAAGGAATATTGCTCTCTTGAGCAAGTGGTTATGGAGGTTTCCATTAGAAAGTGAATCGTTGTGGCATTCCATTATTAAGAGCAAGTATGGTGTTCAAGCCAATGGTAGAGATTCTGTTGTGGTTAATAGAGGTAGTTATCGATCACCATGGAAATCTATTTCTCAGTTAATCCCACTTGTGTCTTCATTCTTTTCTTTGAAAGTGGGAAATGTGGAAAGCATTCGGTTTTGGGAGGATGGGTGGGTGGGGGATTCTTGTTTTGATAGAGCTGTTCCACTTCTTTATAGATTGGTTCGATCTTGGAATGTTTCAATTGCGTCGGTAGTGCGTTCTAACATGGCACCAATTTATTGGAATTTCAATTTCATTAGGAATCTTAGCAATAGGGTCCTTGAGTTGGCGTCTCTGTTGTCATTGCTTGATGGGATTTCTTTGGTTCCTCAAATTGGGGATAAGAGGGTATGGAATATCATTTCTTTGGGGGTCTTTTCATGTAAATCTATGTTTGATAGGATTATTGATGTTCCTTCTATTCCTTTGTTTCCTTTTCACAAAAAATATGAAAAGCGGTTGTTCTTTATAAAGTGAAGTTCTTCATGTGGTCCTTAGCTCATTAAAGTGTCGCGATGAATGATATTCTCCGGAGATGAAGGCCCAATCATTTTCTTGGTCCTCAATGGTGTATAATGTGCAAAAGGGATGCAGAATCGGCGGATCACTTATTCCTATGCTGCCTAGTGGCTCTTGAACTATGGTAGTGCCTCTTTGGCCTTTGTGATGTGCAGTGGGCTGCTCTGCGAGTGTGCACACATTTGTTGCTTGTTGTCTATGGTGGGTTTGGAAGCAATAAGAAGGCCAAAACATTGTGGTCTTGCATTGTCTTTGCTATTTTGGGCTTGTGTGTCTCCTTTCAAGGACATCCCCCTTTTTATGATCTCAAGGGATTGGGCTGCTGTTTGCCACTAATGGTGGATTGTTTTATGTTTTAGTTGTTTTTTTTTTGGACTCTAGATGTGATTTATTGTCTTTGTATGAAGACTTCTTGTCCTCCAACTTTTAGCTTTTTCAATTATTGGTTTGAGTTTTTTCGATTAAGTTTTTTGAAAATTAAGTTTTTTAATTTTTTAGTTTTTTGTTTTTAGTGAATATTTTTAAAATTTTAAATATTTTTTTTTCACTTTTTTAGATGCACCTTACTTAGATGTATCTAAAAGTAAAAAATTTGTGAAAAAATATTTGAAAAAATTAATAAATACATAAAAATACAAAAAATGTACTGAATTCTCTTATTTTTTTTTTTGGTATTTAGTGAATTTTTAAAAGATTTTTTTCACAAATTTTTTACTTTTTAGGTATATTTATGTTAGGTATGTCTAAAAATTAAAAAAATTGCTTAAAATATTAAAAAAATTCAGTAAAACAAAAAAAATATGGAAAACAAGATAGTAGAATTTTCTGAAAAATGTTTTTGGAAAGCTCGAACCAAGCAAATATTTGTTCAAAAAAAGAAAAAAAAAAAAAAAAGTTCTATTGCTCTCTGTTTTTGGCAGTCGAAATATACACTGATGTGTCACTTTTCTACTAGGCATACCTACTTGCATATAGGGACTAATATATTACATATTAAATAATAATTCTTGAGTATGAAAGTATAATGATTTTACCAAAAGAGACCCAATATACATGTTACCAAACACCCAAAATTGGGTTTACATACACTTAACAGAATACGTAGACCATAATATGGAAATTCTATGATATAAGGCTTGTTTAAAGGTCTAAGACATTAACTTTGTTCTGCATGTGATTCAGATCAGAGAAGGGAGGGTCCAGGGTGTCGGTCAATGCCTTGTTCGTGAATACAGAATGGTTTGTAAAGTCATTCGAGGAGAAGTCAGCAAGGATTTCGTTGAGGTAACTGGGGAAGGGCCAAAAATTTTGTGCAGTGAGGACAAAATCTTTCGTAGACCGTCCACAAAATTTTTACATATTTGATAGAATAAAGAAGTAAATATATTGAAGTGCTAATAAAAAGAAAACTTAAATATCTATGGATAAGACACTAATTTTATTTTAAATGACCTTAACGACCTTTGATATTTTGAAGGGAAAATGATATACATATCTTACAAACTTTCTTTACTAACTGATGTGTCATTCATAATGGAACTTCGAAAATTGAAATGGGACCTACTTTAATGATATGATAGATGCCATCGGTAAGCAAATTTTTTTTAAATTTTTTTTGTTAGTTTGTATAGCATTACTCATTTTGAAAATGATGCATAATAGTCTCATTTGGAATGCTATTAAAAATGACTTTCTCAATATACAATTAAGCTATTAATTCATCTACTAATCACCCATTCAGTTGAGAAGCTGGTTCTTCACCATCCTCTTTTTTGAACAACATTCTTCACCCGTACCCCATACTGGATACATACTGGCATATGGTATCTCGTATGATATTTCTGCATACGTACCAGATACACAAACACATACCCGGTACACAAACACATACCTAAATTTTTGGCGTACCCAAAAGTATCTAATATATACCCAAGTCGTATTGTGTCTCAATTGAAAGAATATTTTTAGTTTTTATGATTAGAATGATTTTAAAATTAAGCTATGGTTGTAAATTATTTAATATATTGACATTTAATTTTGATTTATACCTTTACTTTTGCATTAAATGTTAATTGTAGGTTGGATCTTAACAAATTAAACTATTTAATCAATTTTTGCATTACTCTAAATTAAAAATAAATATTTTTTTACAAACGTACCAAGTTGTACTCGTATTCTACTTTTTTTGGATTTGACCATATCGATGTATCTGTATCATACCACTACAAGTGCTTGTACCTGTATCCGTACCCATGCTTCATAGTTTTTCACTATCCTCGTAGCAAATTTTTAAATGATTTTTTAAATAATTTTTTTCAAACGTGTTCAAATTAGCATTTTCCCGAAACCTAAATGATGGTTAATTTTGAATAGTCTTTTTAAGTACATACAGGTAAAATTTTAATTTCTAGAAGTCGGTGGGGTCATTCCTGTCTGTATCTTTCAAGTGATTCTAAATGCCACATTCCAATGCAGGGTTGCAGGGCTATACTGTTGGACAAGGATAACAACCCAAAGGTTGATGGAAATTCTGTTCGTTTATTCTAACATTTTATCTATGATTGTGTATCTTGATGGAATTCTTGTTTTCTTTCTGCAACCAAGATTCACTTGCATTTCCATTATTCCTCCTTTTTTTTTAATAAAAAATTTATTATTATTATTATTATTATTATTATTATATTTTTTTCAGTGGGAACCTTCTAAATTGGAGCTAGTAAGTGATGATATGGTTGATCATTACTTCTCTAAGGTGGATGATGAAGATTGGGAGGATTTAAAACTCCCCACAAGATCAAACTTGCCTGTACATGCCATTGCAAAGCTCTAAGAATCATTCCAAATGGTATTGCAATTTACAGAATATTATACCTGTTGAATGTTCGTGGTGGTCGTTGTTGCTGGTTTTTTTTTTTTTCTGGGTACCCTATCTCATGTAATGAGGCCATGTAGCGGGATGGTTGATCTGCGAGGCGTTCATATATTGCCAAATGTTTATGGGAAAAAGTAGTTGGATAAAATTTGTAGAATAAACTTATACCAAATAAAACAGCATGTGCCCAATGCATACTCTCTTGGGACTCCCATTATTATATGCTTAAACAAAGAGTTTTTTCTCTCTCTCTTCGCCCCCCTTTTTACATTGACAGGTTCTTTACTTCATCTTTCCTCTCCATTTTTTGGCCTTCAGTCTCATGTGTGAGTGCCTCACTGATTTCTCAACCATAATGTGCACGACGGCTGTCTTTCAAAGCCGTAGACGAAGATGGTGATCACTACAGCCACCTAAAGGACTTTTGTAGAAACCAATCCTAGAGTTCAGTGGAGGGTTAAAGTTTTCAAGTCAGAATATATTCACAGGTGATTTTAGATTCTAACACTATAAAAATAATTTGCGTGGCTGATCCGTTTAGCGTCCAATGTCAATAGTATTTGCTAAATTTGTGGCAACTTTTGGTATTTTTATTCTTCTTTGTTTAAAGTTTGTTCAATTGTCCACTGAACAAAATATTCTTTGTCTGATCCGATAAGCGTTTTAGTCAATGAACTCCAATTATAGCAAAACAAAACATTAACGTGCTTATTTTTCTATTCTTTTCGGTGCACTTGGATTATGTTTGAATCCATTTTGTGATGGGTTATTTCCAATTGTTACATGACTCACTGGGTTGATGAACTTTGAATAATCATATTTTTTTAATGAAATAAAATTATTTCAATGATGTATGTTTGAAGTGGGTGCATATCCTTTATGCATTATTGATGGTTTTAAATGGATACACCCTCACAAATTAACTTGCTAACCCGTTTGTTTGGACAGGAACTGATCGCCAGCCGGACGATGCCACGTGGCGATGGTCATTCAAATAAATGGATGTGCATGGTAATTTTAGGGAATCTTTTAGATTTGGAAAGTTTGATAAAGCTAGCTTTATGGTATTTTTTTTAGAAGGCACAGCCCAATCAGGAGGTGCCACGTGGCAGTGTGGTGAGTGAAGTGGTGTATTTTATCAAGGGAATGGCTCGTCTCAAATTGAAATTTCAACTGGACCAGACAGTTGAGGTTTCTGATTGGTAAGAATCATTAAATAGAAGGCTCTGGCTGGTGAGAGTTATTAAATGAAAGACTTTTATTAGTAAGAATCTTTGAAAACATTTAACTGGGTCATGTTTTCAAGACTCTTAATTGGTAAGAAACTTTTGTTTAATGACTTTTACGGTAAGAAACCTCCATTTAATAATTTTTATCGGTAAGAAACTTTAACTGTCTGGTTTAGTTGAAAGTTCAACTGAAGAAAAGTCAAATCTTTATTAAAGTATAGGAGACAACCCAATTGCCCTTAGATATTTCGGATGGGAAGCAATCATGGGGATCACATCTCATGATTGATGTGATCCTTATTTTGTAGAAAAGCAACCCATTTAATATATATTATATAAATATATATATATATATATATACACGTGTTAAATAGATGCTGTAGGAGTTGGACATGTGGCCTTAATTCAAATTAGGAGGAGCCTCCACTAACTTGTCATCCAATGACTAGAATTCAAACTTCTTCAACAATCCTTATATTTATGAGACAGCTTTAACTGGAAGAGGACACTTGGCAACCATCTAATGCCCACGCCCTCCACCCAACGGCTGAGATTTGAAGAAGGTTACAACAACCCTTATTCTTGGGGAACACTCAAACAACACAATGCCTAAGAAGGGGTATCCAGTTGGACATGTGGCCACTCAGGAGGCATAATAGCAACCCACTAACAGAAGTAGTTGTTGATTAGCATGAGGTGGTTCCTACTTTTTAGGATGTCGACCATGATTATCAGGACTCAGAAGCTATAAAAGGCTACTTTCAAGTTCAAGCAAAACACACATCTAATTAATCAACTCAAGCAATTACACTAAAAAAAAAAAACATTCGTGTCATCTTAGCAATTAGTCTAGCATAGTTTATCATCTTTGTTGGCTACATATTTTGTACAGGCTAATCGCAGTTCAACACGTGGCAGTATGAGGGCAATATGGGAAGACAATTCAAATCTCCAACCGCAATCATACACGTGACAGTTAGCATTGGTTATTGTGGATCTGCATAGCACTGGATCAACGAAGAGATGCAAGATGACGTGACTTTAACGGTTACTCATATATTTAAATTCAAAATTAGGAGGGAAGCCTAACTGAAAGGAATGGCGTAGTGGAACTGACTATAAGGCAATATGTTCAGCAATCATGGGAAGGCTGTTCGACGGTTGGAAGCCTACTTCGACGATTACTACGGGAGGGTATAAATAGTAGAGAAGGCTCCAGAATAAAGCCTCAGACGCAGATCAAAAAATCAGTTTTATCTACTTTATTTTCATTTCCAGTTTTTACAGTTCTTTACATTTATGTACTTCAAATTCCTGTATTGTATTTCATTCATAGGAGTAGTTTCAAATAGCTTGTTGCTGTAAACCTCTACGAGGCTGGGTCAGATCATTGTAAGTTTTTCATTTTACTTAATGAAATTCTGCGATTTTCTTTACTTAATTGTTATTTACTAAATTTTCCTAAATAAGTCACTAGTAAAAGTCCTCTTCATTAAGGTTGAAGGAACTAAAACACAGTCATCTAATAATTGGTTGGCAATTAATCTTCTGTAAGGATGAATTGATCCTTGCTGGCACGCTTAAAATTACAATACTAACCTTCGAATCTTGAATCCTAACTTAAACACTTCCAAAGTGTGGAATTTTCTTTAAAAAAAAAACAATCATTGCCTTACATACCAATTCTAGGATTAACATAATTTGTTTTTCTTTAGCTATCAACTTCGAATTAACCAACTTTGCTTCGAAGCACAATCTACGTGCTTCAAAGTATAGAAACTTCCTTTAGGGATTGCATTGTTTTATTAAAAAAGGTAAGTCCCTTTGTATCCTTCTTTGCCTAATCAAATATTGGTTTTTTGCTACTTCGAAGTCTAGAACAAACAAACCCTAGTTGCAGAATATTTCAAATTTTTCTTCGAAGGGTTTTACTTTCAACAAGAAACTTAAAAACAAGTCTGTCTTTAATCCACTTGAAGTAAACAAACACCTGAACATTCTTGCGCTCTTAGGTGTAAAATGTGTTTCGAAGTTAGCATCCCTCTTTCGAAGCCCTAGTTGATCATTTGTTGACTTTTGAGCCAAAGCTCTGCTTCGAAGCCGCTATGAGTATTTGAGGTATGTTTCCCTCCAAATTATCAATATTGAGGGAGGCTTTTCGTATCCGTATCAACAGTACTCCTTTATGAATTCTACCCATTTAAAACGATTGGTTATTTTTCGGACAGAAAGGTTTTAAAACCCTTCCCTTCCGTTCCTTCAATTCACTTGCTCGCCCAACACACTAACGCTTCGCCTCTATTGACTTCTCTTCTCCTTTACTCTCTCTTTCTCAACTTCGTCTTCTTCAAACTTCTGTCAATGGCTTCTTCCTCCTCGAAGATACCAGTTGTGAAGTGTGCGAGTCCATCCGTAGCTTTAAAGAGGATCATCACTGAAGAGTGTGAGAAATATAAGGCTGGTGAAAAATGTGCTATTGATGGACATATTTTCATTTCCCGTCGTCATGAATAGCAGGAATATGTGCTTCGGCCTATTTTTAGAGAGGCTCCTATTCAGCTTCTAGCTTTGTACCCACGTTTGGAGGACCACTGCCTCCTTTATGAAGGCGGTCTTGATTGGGGTAACTGGAGAGCGAACTGACCCCATCGCTGCTGGCCCATAGTAAGACCAGAGTGGGAGGAATGGTATGATCGGGTCGTCCCTGCTAGGACAATGGATCTTCAGGAGCTTTACCTCTTTGACGCTCTTTAACTGTCTAGGTTCACCATTTCAGAAGACCCATTTTAATACCTGCTGCGCTCTGTTTTTGGAATTCTACTTTTAATTTCTTTCATTTTAGATGTGGGATGATGGCTCCCACTATCCTTGACACCTGCCACCTATTGGGATTATCCCCTATTGGTACTCCCATTGGTCCAGACTATCCTGACCTTAAAACCCTTTCTTCTCTTCCCCCTCTGAACTCATCCTATAGCGACTTTGTCAAGGTTGAGAACAAAAGAGAAGGCCCTGTGACTGAAAGGGAATTCTTTTCTTTCTTATTGTATTGGCTTTACAAATTCCTTTTTTGCATTTCTTCTCAGAGGATCATGCCTGAGTTTGCTTCTCTTGCCAAAGCCTTTGTTTTGCATAAAAAGGTAGCCTTAGCCCCATATGTTTTGGGTCATGTCTATAGGGCTTGTTCCCTCTTCTTTGAAAAACCCATGGACACCAATCAAGGAGGCTCATTTTGGATACTCCAACTCTGGCTTTTTGTATACTTTATTGATTTGCAGTCTAAGTGTTTAAAGTTTTTGATGCCAAATCCTACCACTTATGGTATGAAGTTGGCCAATGTTTCACTTTATCCTTCCAACTTCGCCTTCTACTTTTCTTTCTTTCACCAACTCCCAGCTTCCCCTTTTTTTTACACCTTCTGCCCCTTCGAAGCTACCAACATTGGCCCAGCCTGGTTGAGGACCTTTTTGAGTGATAGGTCCTGCTCTAGGCCTCAGCACAAAAACATGTGGGCTTCTATTTTGATCCCAAGGGAACTATGCATTGGCACTATGAATCCCAGAGCTCATAAGTGCATCTCTGAGCCTTATTACCTTGCCCAATTTGCCAGACAATTTGGACTCTCTCAGGGAATTCCTATCCCCCTCTACAGTCAGTCCAATTCAAACCTTGCCAACAGAGATTTGAAGGTTCCAAGATCCAGACTGGAGGAAGCAACCTCCAAGTTTATCCAAGACCTAATTGATTTTGAGTACCTATCCTTCATTTCTCAAAGCAATACATTGAAGAGGTACCAGAATTGGTGGATGGCCAACATGGAGGTGCACTTGGCTATTCCTCCTCAAGATTTATTAATGGTACTAGATGTACCTCAAGCCAAGTCCAAAGGGACTGAAGTTGTTATTTCCTTCATTGCTCATGTTACTCCAGCTCTTGCACCTGCTACTACAAAGTCTGCTCCTGCTGCCTCACCTCCTCCTAGAGTTACTCGAGTTGCTTCGAAGAAAAGTATGTGCTATTGCTTCTTTTCTTTTCTCCTCCTTTATGATGCTCTTGCTTTTACTTATAGTTCTTTTTTTGGTGTAGGTGGTGTAGGTGCCTCACAGGGAGATTCTCCCCAAAAAGTTCAAGCTTTAAATCTTCTCAAGAGCAAACAGCAACAACAAAGGAAAAGAAAGCTCTTGTTTAATCCTGAAGAGGAGGTACCTGAGGTTCATGTAGAAAAAAAGGAAGAAGAAGAAGAAACAGAAAAAGAGCAAGAGGCACCATTAAAAAGAAGGAAGAAAATGACGGTCTCTCTCTCTGATTTCACTGGGGACCCCATTCACGAAGCATCTGCTAGAGCAGTGGAAGCAGAACACTCCAAAGAACTCATTGTATTTCAGAGGGCTGAGAAGAGGAGACAACAACAAATGCTTAGGGATGAAGCTGCTGCTGCTAATGCACTCCAAAGAGAAACTGCGAGGAAGCAACAAACTACTGAACATTTACCCTTCGCAGCTCTCCAACCATTGCTATCACTTCTGAAACTGGTAATTTTCTTTTGTGTCTCTAATTTCCTTTCTCACGTTTTTAGTACTGAATCTTAACATTGCTTTCGTATTTCTTCTTTTGAAGCAACAACTGTTCTGCCTTCTTCTTCAACAAAGACCTCTTCAGCTTCATCTGAAGTTGAAAGACTATCAGAAACAGTGCCTCGAAGTGTAGAGCCCATTCAGGCAATAGTCCCATTCCCCGGCCCTACACTTTTCATACCCATTTTTAGGAGCATTCTTATATCCTTATCCTTTGGCTTAACGCCATACCTTCCTCTTCTAACCTTTAACTTAATCCAATTTATTCTCCCTACAATCCTTACTGCTCCTTTCCATCCTGAGGAGATCCCAGTTATTACTTCATCTCCAGTGATAACTGATTCTCTCAGAGAAGATACTGGTAGCTCCCCAATTCTTCGTCCACTATCTCTACCTAGCTCCAATCTCTCTTCTCTTGATCTACTGGTAGCTAAGACTATGGAAACTGCTAGGGATACTTCAATCTCCTCTCCTATCCCTATGCAGCCATGTCTTCCTTCTACTAGAACCCTTTCTGCACCAACCATGTTAATGGAAGAGGTGGACATTTTCGAAACTAGCCTTTTTGACATGTCTTCTACCATTCCAACAGCCAGTAACGAAACTGAGCCATTGGCTCTGGTTGATTCTCTTTTGGAAATCTTTGAGAGCTCTTCCACTATCAGTAGGGCTTCCTCACCTTCACTGGATTTGGGTAGCTATTTGGAGTTGCTGACATTGTTCTCGAGGATCCCCTTCGAAGCCTTGCAAAGATCTATTATCAAGAATGGTTTCCTCCAGTACTGCAAGGTTATTGAGCAATCCAACATGGCTATTTCAAGTCATTTATCTCAAGCAACAGCTACCATTGACTTTTATATCAACATTTGGCATGGTGCCAAAGCTGCTGAGGAGAAATTGTTGAGAGATCAGAAATTTGTTTCTCAGATACATGCTGAGGTGTCTGAATCGAAAGAACAACACTCCTCTGTCTCCCAATTTCGAGCCCAACTTTTGGAGAAGAAAGCTCAGCTAGAAAAAGAGTTATCAGCAGTCAATCTGGCTTTGGATCGAACTGCCACCAAGCTGCAAATCACCAACCAAGGACTGTCTGATCGGAAGCAGGAGATGACTACAACCATTCAGTTGTTCCCATCTCTTAAGAGTAGAGAGTCAATTGTAAAGGAACAATTAAAACATTGTACTGACTTTGGGCCAATCTATGGCTGCATGTATTCAAATCCTTATGAAATGAATTCTTTATTTATTGAATGTTTTCATGCTTTTCTTGTTTAGTATTTTACTATACTCCTTGTGTTTCCCGCTCAATTGGATAATAAGGCTTCAAATACTTGCCATTAATTTTCTTGGGGTGCACATACCCATTTAAAGTTCTCAAATGATATGCTCCCCAAGGCACAACTCTGTGAACTTGATATGGTCCTTCCCAATTAGGTGACCATTTGCCAAACTTATGGCTTTTAATCCTTATTGGGAGTATTGTCTTCCGTATCAAATCACCTTTATCAAAGCTAATGTGCTTAACTTTTTTATTTTAATTTTTGGCTGCTTTCTTCTTTTGGAAAAGAATGCTATTTAATGCCAAAATTCTAGTTTCAGTCACATTCTCTAATTCCAAGCACATACTCTGAGGTTGAGTAAGGGTAGGCCAAGTTCCCCAGCCAGAGGTCGTAGAAGAAGAAGAAGCAACAGCCTCATCCCATACGGAAGGGTTTGTTGCAGAAGAAGAGCTTCTGATATCCATGGTTGCAAATTTTTGTTCCAAAGAATG